ACGGGATCCCGTGCGCCAAGGTTAAAGTCGGCGAAGACTTACTCCGGTGATTTTCCTAGCTCCAGTGTAGATGCCGTATCTCATCCGCAATCCACCACGAACTCACGAGCCGGGCATTTTGTCGTCACTGGAATCGGCGACGAAAGCCGAAGAACCCGCCAACTTTCCGGCGTATGCCCGTTATCCCGAGGTTGAGCTGTGAACCACTCCCTCATGTTGTCGGGCAACGCCGGGTGACGACCGATAGACCGGACTCACAATCATCCAAGCCATCGGCCAAGCTGTCGCCAGCCTCCCTTATGCACTCACTCTAACGTCTTTCGTAACCGCGGTCCGTCCACCATTAGCTAGATCATTACCGACTACCCCTCTGGGACAGACAACTCCACATGCGCACGACTGTCGTTCACGATCCACGACCATCACCATCGTTGGACAGAATTTGTTGGCGCAATTGCAACCCAGTCCAGTCATTATTTTGGCCTTGACTCAAGCTTTTGATTTGTTCGCCCATGTCTTCAGAGGTAATCTATTTGCTCGACATAACGCCCAAAAAAAGTCGTTTCCGTGCACTCAAACAAGCAATTTATGCCTCAGTCTTCTCGGCGGCCTTCTTGGCCTTGACGCCACGGGGCTTCTTCTCAGCGGCCTCGGGCTTGACGGGCTTCTGGGCGCGGCGGATGGCAGAGACGCGCTGAACGGCGGCCTCACGGAGATCGGCACGGTAGCCACCGTTGGCGGCCTGGAGGGCGACGGCCTTGTAGGTCCTGTAGGTCACACGGTCAATACCTTCAACTTCCTATGCAGCTTCCATCCGGAGCCGTGTCGCTGAGGTTCAGAAAACACTCACTTGCGCGCCGACTTGTTGCCGCCGTAGGTGACCTCAGTGGTGCCCTGGGCAGGCTTGTTGGCGTTCTTCTGGTTCTTGCTGATGACCTTGACACCACCCTTCTCGTTGGGGACAACGCCGATCGCCTGCGTCGCAATTACTGTCAGTCAATGTATTCCTCGATCGACCAATCCATAATCGTCGCCGCCGCATCGTTCTCGTTGTGGGAATTCGGTGCTTCGGTTACAGCGGGGAAATGTGTACCTTGTTGTTGACGAAACCAGCGTACTGCACCGTGTGTTAGCCAAATACCGCCCACAACAGAGCCTACCACGGAGATAATATGACTTACCTTGCGAGAGTGCTTGTTCACCAGGTTAAGGGGGTCGCGGGACAGCTGGAGGCCGCCAGCGTCGTTGCGGTTGACCAGGTAGGCATTCTGGTTGCCTGTACATCGCCAACGCGACGAAAATGGTGAGCAAAATGCTTGCAAGGGGGGAGAAACCCCGTGGTGTCGTCGTCCCGTTTTCCGTTCAGACGACGGGGTGACGAGATTGCAACTTACGGACAACCTCCCAGATGAGGTCGGCGGAAACGTTGGGCAGAGCGGCGGCCATTTTGACTGATTTTCGAGGATCACGGAATGGTTGATGAACACCTTCAGCTTCTCGCTCTACGGCCGACGCATGAGGTAAATTCGAGTGTGTGGGCAATCGCAAAACCGGTCGCTTAGCTTTCAGTTTACGGACTAGCGCTAGAAAAGACCCTCATTTTACGACCGAGCCACCCGACCCGGGCAAAGCCCTCCCGGATGGGACAGCTCGGATGTGGCTAGTGAAGGCGGTGCAGCGCTGCAGCCGGTGGGCTCTGGGGATCTAGGAGGTGTACTTGTTGTACCTTTAGTTTTGTCCTCCGGGTCTTGAGATGCTTGCTAACTGTGCTTACCGTACACCTTCCTTGGTGATTCCAAGTCATAATCCTTGCCACTGCATCTTGTAGCCCACGACCCAGCTTCTCGTTATCTGCATTCCTTGAACCCGTTGTCCGGCATCTGAACATACGGTTCACCAATTGCTCCACAAGAACTGGGATTGGTTATTGATGATTTAATATGTTTCGTACTGAATTTTCATGACTTTTATCGTACATTAATTCCTATGGCGATCACCAAAAGCCGGCATCTTTCAGGCACGAAGAGGTAGATTGAAAGTAACAGCGGGGTCGGTACCGGGACCATGGTTGACATAGAGCTCGATATAGATGACTCGATGGTACTCGCACAGGCATATAGATGGCGAAGCAGAAGAGATAAAACTCATGTAGCATGTGCTTTCAACTAGTGCGGACAACCCTGTAAACTTGTAAAGCCCACGACGACAACCCAGAGGACTATATCTCGAGAGGAATGAAAACAACCAGGCCTGGTCGATGGCAACACATGTAAAATGGAACTGCCCGCAAGACGGCATCTCCTGGCTCCGCGGTCACTTCAAATTCGGGTTTGCTGTGTATATTTAGTAGTTTACGCCAAGATTGGGAGTTGCTTGTTTGTTTGTTCTACCAGGACAATGATGTACACGTGGTCTGTGGTAAATGTGCTTGTGGTTCTAGCGGCGCCGCTGTGCCATGGTCAAATACCGAAGTGCAGCAGCTGGGTCGTAGTCGGAGGCTGCCCACTCAGGCCGGGTAAAACTAACTCGCTAATGCATCACTGGAAAGAAAAAAGTCCAAGGTCTCCCAGCTCACTACTAGTATCCGCGATTATGCGAACAGGGCGATTGGGTCTCACGCAAATTGACTTTTGCGTCAGTCGCATGTCCATCACGGACGGTGCGGCGACATTTGACATTGTTCGGTCAGATTGCAGTGCCTCTTCCTCCGAGATACACAACCTTACGACACAGATGGTCGGCCTGGGGCAAAGCTATCGGAGCGCAGCTGTCCTATGGTAAGATGGAAGTGAATAACTAGGAAGGCTTCGTCGAGAGACATCATCGTTTCTGGCCAAACTGAAACTGTGACCCAGCGATCTGGCCTGTCTCCACGAGCCTGCCTTAGCAATGGAACCGCAGGGCAGGCCCAGAGCTTCCCGCCGCCGGGTGCGCATCATTCCCCGACCAAGGGAACCCAGGACCCCGAGAGGGGCAGCATCAGGTCTCGCCATGCATTTCACGTGACGTACCTACCTTACCTAAGGTACCTTACCTACCTAGGCCGAAGGACGTGTCAGCGCATCTCTTCGCGCGCCTGCGGACTGCGCCTGCGTTCTTACGTACCTCCCTGGCATTCTAAGTGGGGCCCAGCAGACATTCAGCAGCCCGCCTGCGCGGTGACAGAGACTCGCTGAGGCTGCCCGAGAGCTCTCGCCTTTCTGAGGCCACTGGATCAGACGGAATGCACGGGGTGGTAACAGCCCCGAGAGCCCAGGAAAGGGCCCCAGAGTTTACCTCACCTCACACCCATCCTGTCGTCGCACATAGCCCAACCCGTCTCCTTCCTCACTCCTCACCTTAACAAGCTTCACCGATCCTACAGTGTAGCAGGAGTCTCCGGAATCCCCGCGCCTGTACAGGGCCCGACATGATTGCTTGAACTCACCAAACGGCAGTCTTTCTCGTCGTTTCGCACATATACTCTGTTTTTCTTGTTCCATGATACCTCGCGAATCCTGTTTTCTCTGTGTACTCCGACTTAACTCCTTTCACATTTAAGCAGCGCGAACCTCACGATATTTTCTTGATCGCGTATACGTCCCCCTGTCAAACTTCCGAACCCAACGGGGCTGGTGACTTGGTCGCTGAAACCTACCTCATTGCGCGCCCGCTGTCGCCTGCACTCTGACTTCACGATCCTCCGACATCCCCGCAACATACCTCTCAAGCGACGCCGAACAACCGATCGACACCATGTCCTACCTCCTCTACTCGGTATCCTTCTTCGCCCTCGTCATCGCGACGGTCCTCTACCTCACCCGCACCCACTGGCAGCCTTTCCTCCCGAACCTACCGATTCCAGGCCGCGATTACATCTACTCCCGCCTGCCCTCCACTTTCACCGGCGACATGGAGGCGGGTCTCTCCAGCTCGACATTTGACCTCAGCGGCAACGTCGAGTCTGGCGACAGCCGCGCAGGCCTCGATGATCGGAGCAAGGCCGAAATTCTCAAGATCATGAAGAAGCGCAGAATGAGGTTCGACGAGGCTCGTAGGGTGTACATGGAGAACCGCTTTAAGGCCAACGGCATCGGTCCTGACGGCCGGCCCCTCGACCCCAAGGCCGTCACCTTCAGCTAAGATTATGGATGACAGTTGGTTCGAGGCATCCAAGCATATAAAAGCGTCCTGAAATAAGATCTCTTTCGTAAGAGAAATCACAACGACTGTTAATCTTTGAAGGAGGAGAGCTGTCTTCGCGCCCGCCGACGCAAGGAAGCCACCTTCAACGATGCCACCATTCACAATATGGTCTGCTATGAAGCGACTACAACAACCCACCCAACACGTCGTCTCCGACAAAACTTATCTCCTTGGTTCATTCGTGTGCTTCTCAAATATCCTGCTGGCGTGGAGAATTCTGGCGTTCGGAGTGTGCTTCCCTCTTTAGGATTGGGATTTCTTCTATTAAAGCTCAAGAGGCGGACGCGATGCTTTATCTCAATCGTTCCGAGGGTCTCTTTTCTATGTGAGGTTGGTTGGCTTCTAGCGTTACAAGCTGAGCAACTGATAATCATTCAATATCATGTGGTTTTTTTTTTTTTTTATCTCATGCTGATTAACGTCCCCAAACTGATTTACCGTGCTAGTGCATGTCACCACCACTTTAACCCTGACTCATCATAACTCAATCTCTGATAGGTATCCAGAACCATCTATGGTAGGGACTGGACTATGCCACTAGATATTATTGTACTTGCAACTCGCCTGAGCATACGAGATGCCAGATCGTCACGGGCGCACTTCCCCATGTTCAGTCATTTCATCATCCTCATCCACCTTTTCACCTCATCATGCAAAAGTGCTGAGGTTCATATGTACAGTCGAAAGTCTGGCAACGTCCAGGTATTACAAGCGTTTATAATGCAGTCGTAGGCAGCCGTTGCCAGCGCCGGATGAAGTGTTTTGAGGAGACTTCGTGACAAAAGCCTGCCACGGTTTCAAGAGCATCTTCACTCTTAGTTATTCTTCTTTTGGTCGACGGATGCACCATACTGGCGGTCATCGTCTCCCTCGACCTCCTTCTGGATCTTTTCCATGTCCTTGATGCCGGACTTCCAAGTCTCTTCGGACATCTTGGTCTGCTTGTTGAACCATGCGAGATCGGGCTTGCGGTAGCTGCCGCCAAGACGATCCCACAGCGTGGTGAACTGGCCGTAGTTATAGCTGTGGATACCTTGTTAGCAACTTTGACTAACCTCTCTAAACGGGTTGACAACTTACTTGAAGTAAAGGTGGTGGGCAGTGTGGCAGGCAGAACCGTTGATGATCGGGTTGTCGGTAATGTACTCGCCGTCGTGAATGAGAATGGTCCAGAAGTTGATGAACATGAACAGAGCGACATAGGCCATTTTTTGTAGGGGGAACAGCATAGGATAAACGTGATAGGGGACGGACTGTGCAAAACCATCGAGGGGGTGGAAAGCGTGGGAGGCATAGGGGGATGGCATGATCCACTTGTGGTGAGGCTTGTGAAGGTGCTTGTAGACGGAAGGCAGATGCAGCCAGCGGTGAATCCAGTAGATGCAGAGGTCGGTAAAAAGAATGAAGAGCGGGAACTGGGCCCAGTCGTACCAACGGCCGGGTCCCTCCTCAGTGGTGTCGTAGAGCTTGCAAAAGCCGCGAACCTCAGCGAGGAAGGTGATGGCGGTGCAGAGAGACATGATGGGCATGGCCTTGTTAGCCTGCTTCATCTCAAGCCACACCTGGTTCTTGAGAAACTTGGGGTGGTTGAAGGTCTTCTTGTCAAAGATGAAAATGTACGAGAGGGTGGCGAAGACGAAGTAGTTGAGCAGTCCGAAGATCCTGGGAACCTTGTTGTTAGCGATCGGACGAGACGAGTCAGGAGGGTAGTTTCGACATACCAGGTGACGAGGAAGAGCGAAGTGAACTGGCGATACATGTTGTCTCTTGGCCAGGCGCTCATGTAGGCGGCCTCAGAGGGCTCGAGATGAAGCCAGTGAGTCGCGGGCTTATACTGCCATGTCGAGAGCGGTTGCGCCGTGGCGTTGGCAGCGGTGTGGGGGAAGTCATAAGGGGCTGCGCCGGCGGGCAGCAAAGAAGCGTAGATCTTGTCGCCGACGAAGGTGTCGACGACCTCGAGAACGATATCCATGGCGAGGTCGGATGCGGAGGAGGGTTCTCTAAAGGGGTTTGCGACCAGCTGCCGATGTTTTGGTGACGCCAGAGAGAGGAAAGAGAGGAAGGGTGCTGCGGAAGGGAGCGGCGCGAAACGATTTTGTAAGTGTTAGGCGAGTTGCAGCGCAACAAGTCGCGGTAGGTCGAGGCGAGACAGGCAGGCGAGATGCTGGGGGGGCAGCTCGGGAATATCGTTGGCTCCGAGAGATCTTATCGGACGTTTTGGTGAAAAAAATTCTGGGGCCACAAGAGGGGAGCAATTTGCCTCTAAATGGGACCGCCAGGTTGAGCGTGGTGGGAAGCAGCCAGGGGCGGGATCGGCGGTGTCTGCACTGCGGCGGCAGCAGGCAAGGATATTGCTGTAAGTCGGCAGTAGCGTCGCAACAGACGGGCTTTCGACGGGCTTTTGGCGTGCCCGAGATGGATGGCGACGGATGAGGACGAGGCAGAGGAAGAGGATGACAACGCGAAAGCAGTGACAGCGGCAGCCGAAGGCCAAGCAAGCTGTTCTTGTCCGGAGGGATGGAGTTGGAACTCAGGTGCCCTCTATCCGGTAAAGTATGATGTCTGGCCTACGCAAGAGACAGAAACTACTTTTAAAGTAACTTAAGGGTCCCGGGCCTCGAGACAGGCAGCCACCGACCCTTGCGTATCCGTAAGGGTTCTGTCTGTACGGATACAGAGTTGGGAGGATCCGTAAGGTTTGACGACAGGTGAGATGACAATTGAATGCGAGATGCGGAAAGGAGGAATGAGATGGTTGCTTAACTCACGGCCACACAACGCTGCACTAGAGGGAGGCAGGACGGCAGAGCTGGATGTGGCGGGAAGAGCTTGTCTTTTTATTGACACAGCCTGGAGATTCCCGCACGCAGCCCGCACACCGACTCGCCCTCACCATCATCACACGACGCTGCCTGAGGGCAATCTTGTAATGGGATGTTTCTCTTTTGCTCCAGCTACTCTTGGGTGGCACTTTGGCCTTGAATGGCATGATCCAACTCATGGACTTCCCGGCCCGGGAAATGGATCTTGACCCTTTGGGTGAGGTTCGACGTGATGGAGGGACTGGCGCCCAGCCATTGACGCCTCTGATTGGCCGCTGCCCCTGGACGCTACACTTACCGTGCTGCGGTCCCTTAGGGTGCTGACACCACCCAACAATCATTCACCTCACACATGGAAGTTCCTTAGATTCCCGCTGTCGACGGCCGCCTGTCGTTTCGTATTCGGATCCCGTTCCCACTGCTCAAAGTACTTCTCCAACATCTCGCCCGCACCCTCACGCCTGCAAACTGCTACGCCACTACTCTTTCACGGGCCGTCCTAATGAATGACATCTCGCAGCGATCTCTGCATCTCGCCCTCCTCCACCTCCTGTGCGCAGTAGCGTCCACCAATGATCGGGCCAACACCACGCCGGACGCTGTCAGTCACAACCCGTTTGGCCACAGCCTCCATAACTTCTCGAAGCACGTCGTCGTAGTGTACACACCGACTCCCATTCCCCAACGCATTATGGATATTTCCACTGTCCCAGTCCTCCGCTATTCTGGCTCCAGCGCTGTGCGGCGCGTCGGGCACTTCGGCCCCAGGCAATTGGGCCGGATACCAACGGCCATGGACCATGTAGATTATAGGGAGTGACGTGACTTTTCTGCTTCGGAAGTCGTGGTTACCGGCCACTAGATCCACTTGTTGCCGCTAGACCGACTTTGGCCATCATTTTCTGAGCGCTGACCTGCAGGCATGATCAACGTACGAAAGCCATATGACGATGCCCTTTTACCCCTTTGCTGTCCCCGCGTTCCCCTGAATTGATGACAGACAGTGCACTTACTGTTTCTTCTCGGCGCAAACCCTCTCGGTCGGACATTGCGGCGATTTCCCACTCACGCTCACGGCACGCGATAGCAATAAACCTGATAGACCTGATGTTGATTCCCTTTCACCTTGGCGGGTGTGTCCTCTCATGGCAACCCTGCGTTGCTGCGCTGATCTTGGAACCTGCGCCTCCCAGCGAGTCGGCACACACCGCAAGCGACGTCTAGAACGTTTCCAAAGGCTGTTGAAACGAGCCATGTTTGGTCGCCTATCTCTGCCAGCCTTGACCGCCTGCCTCTGACCCGGTGGCTTTTGTTCAACTCATGATCCTAACCCACGAGAAACTTGTCCTTACACGGTAGACGTATCCCATCGCTGTGTTCGTGACTTGATCGAACCTGAGGCCGAGTGTCACTCGCGTTCACTGGGAAATCTCGGTGGACATTCCCAGGGATCTCTTGGGGATTTATCCTGAATACATGGCATACGGGTAGTAATCACAGTCGCAGACGGTCGATCTTCGCGACAAGTGTCTTTGATGTCGCATGATACCCGTGACTCGATTGCTCGTTTAGCAGAGCAAACCCCGGACTGGATCTACAAACACCGCAAGAGCGTCCACCCTGCATGAGCCTCAGAGTACTACTAAGTAGTAGTGCACCATCAGAAAATAGCTCGCAATCAACGATGAGGGAAAGAGATATGAACTATATGCAGTCGCGCGTAGTCACCATCATCATAATTGATAGCATGTTTTTCAAGCATCGAAGTTCCTCGAAGCGCCATTTTCACTTGCGAAGTAAATTGGCTTGCCCCGTTGAAGAAGCATCACATACAGAGCGAATATGCCTATTGTTGCTGTGAGCTTTTGGCCGGTACTATATGACTATCTCGTGAGATTGTGAACAGTGCGTCCCTATGTCATAGGTGACCCTGAAAAGCATCCAATACTTCAACTTCATTGCCCGAGAGACGACATGAAAACAAACCAGATTCCCACACTCCTCGACTATCTTAAGACGCAGGCAACGACCAACGACGGATGATGGACGGCGGACGACGGACGACGGGGGAGACTCGGCCGGCAGGTTCCGACGGCTGCATTGCCGGCGTCTGGCCGGCGTTTGGCATTGGACCCGACCAATTTTGCCTCAGGCCACAGCATGGAGCGCCGCGGACCTTTCGGGCAGACTATCCCTGCCTTAGATATCTTACCTGAGGGAAAATGTTCGTGCCTCCTGCCGACTGAATTCACCTAACCCACCACCTATCTGGCTCTTCAACGCTATGGCACCCCCAAGTGCGCCCGATTCCTCGGCCGACGGCTGATGGAGAATTTCGCTGTCTATATATTGTGTCCGACCGCGTTTACGCCGCCTTCCACTCGACTCTGCAACTTAAACACTGATGCTAGTACTGCAGATTGCGCATTGGAGTTGCGTCTGAAGTAGGCTCTGTTTGGAGAGGTGCCAGAACGGCATCTTGGAACCTTGGAAACATAGGACGGAAACCATGGACGGTCAGCCGGCAACCATCGGTAATCCCTCCCGACCCTGATGAAAGTTGAGCCACAGTTGCACGAATTCCTCCGCATCGCTACTGAAGTAAGGCATGCAAAAACATAATGTCCAAGTTGACTATCGCTTGCCCGGCACGGACAATCCAAGAGTTGTCGAGCAACTACGCGCCGTTGGCTAGCTCGCTTGTTGTATGCGTTTCGCAATTACGGCTTGTCTCGCTTCTGATCCGATCAACGTCGAATGGCTATCCGTAGGTTAGAGGCGCATCCGGAACAGGCAGCAGGCGGTGCAAATGGGAGATGAAAAAAGCAAGCATCGTCAAGCAATGGTGGTGTGTGATGAATGATTGCCCACTGTTGCAACTTGCAGCTCCGAATACCCCACGTATCCGCCGCTAATCGAGCCATAAATTTTGCAGCTGGCGGCCCATCGCGGTTGGGTGGTACGGACATTGCATAGCATGGCATGACACCGGCACGGCAGGGTGTGCGGCCAATGCATGCAACCACCGCTGACATTGACTGTTGCGGTCGGGGCCAGTTTAGAGCTAAGGAAGGTAGGTGTTATATTTTTGAAGAGGAAAAAAAAGACCAAAGATTAGGAAAGGAAAGACATGAAATGAAATACCCACGGCACCATCGCCAGCTTCTGTACATCGGAGTATTGAACGTTGCGGATCCGTTCATGATGATAAAATTGACCTCGCCGACACTCACCGAGAAAATATTGCAAGGCGTCATGTCATGCCTCACGCTCTGCAATCCGAGGCACCCTCCTCCACATTCAGCAGCCATTTTAGCAGTTCCGCACGCGTCGGCGATAATCATACGCCGGCACTAGCAAGGCAGGTGCAGGTTCTTCCAGTCTTCACACGTCGTCAAACTCTCCCTCGTTTCCATCTTGCGCGGCGGAGACCAGACCAGACGATCCACCACAGACACAACCCTCATCCTGCTCCTCACACCCTCACCCTGACCCTGACCATGTCCATGACGGTTGAACTCCCCTCCCCTTAAGCATCTTAGCACATTTATTTACCCTTACCCTTTCACACACCCCCAATCCAACCCAGCCAACCCTCTTGACCCGCCCTTACTTTCGCCTCAAGCTTAGCTGCCACGGCCTGGCAAACCCTCTGTCTCACCTCACCAAATGGAACATTCTCCAGTGTCCCCAAAACCCCCTCCTCCCCCCCCCCCCCCCCCCCTCCAATCTGCACACCCCGACGTGCTTACTGCGTGCCCACGCCCAGCTGGCTGCAAGCTCTCAGGCCAGTGACCACACCCTCTCACACCCACCCCTGTACTTGCGCCTAGTGCCATCGTACTTGAGTGCCACGGCGCAACTGCAGGCTGCACCGCTGCATCTCACGATGATTGCCCTTTTTGCCTTTTCCGCAACAGCGAACCCTGCCTGGGCATCATGCCTAACGCCTTCCCGTACCATCCCATATCACCGTCCTATCTCGTCCCATACCTTCCGATTCCCTTCGCTGCTATCCCGAATTTGCGGATACTTCTGCTGGATGAGCCGCGAACGTGAAATGCATGCAATCTCTACCGCCCATCCTCGTCTCTTGCACTGATCAGCATTGTGTTGGTCGTTGTCGTCCTTGACCAGCAACGTGCTCATGTTATGCCCATCTCATCGTGACATTCGTCCACGATAATGTACCAACCTAATGCCGAGCTACGTTCCGCGGCTGAGGGTCATGGAGCCCACTCGTAGAGCGCACCCAACTGCAGACGAGCCACCATCTACTTATCAAAGATCTTTCGAAGAATCGGCGGGTGGTGGCCGAGCTTCATATAAGAGATCACAGTATATTCAGCCATTCGGCTTTGGCGAGAGCCAAGCTGGGGCATTCTCTTCGAGGTTGGACATGGTTTGCACAGGGAGACAAAGACATAACGCCATCCATAAAGAAACGCGCCCAGTCGGCCGTCACACACCAGTACTCAGATGAGTCAAATCCTCCTCTCTCGCAAGGCTGCGCGGGGTCAAGGCGCCAAAAGCTGCGATTGAGAGGTTAGGTGAGTTGTTGCCTTCACCTTTACATACCTACCTACCTATGTAAAGTGACGGGACGAAAACCGCGACATGGGCCGTCATGGCAGGTAAGGTACGCCTCCATTCTATGTCGGTCTACGGTACCTTAGACGAAAGGTAAAGGCATGTACATTACCCACCTTACTGGGCTTACCTACATGAGATGCAAGTACCTACCTAAGACATACCACCCGCGGAGAGCTGCACCCCACTGACAACGCTCCACTCTGAGCACTAACACCGAGTGGAGCTGAGCCGCCCTTGCCCCTGCCCCGGTCGGTGTCCTGCCGCAACTCTGAGTCGCCGCTGGCTGAGTTCCCACGTACCCACGCACCACCCAGATTGAAACTTTCCTCTGGAAGGGAATCAAGCGCCACATGGGAATGGACGGTACGGACCCACGTCTCGAGCCAGCTCACCCCCAAAAACAGCCAGGCGCACAGACCTGATGCTTTGGCAGGGTATCCGTCTCCCGGTAGGTACTCTTTTCCAGGAGCTCCATTGACCCTGCCGGTACCAGAATCGACGCTAACAGTTTGACTCCAGCCCACACCAAAAGAGGCACGCTCAGCAAGTCTTTCCTCTTGTACCTGTCGACACGCCTCTGATGTAGAGTCGCTCCGCCGGCTACTTCGTACCTTGGCATGCGCCTGGTCCCACCTCAGGCGGGCACAGAGCAGTTCCTCCCCCAGGGGCCAGGGCAGGCGGCTCCCCGTCTCTGACCCAGTGTAGTGTGCTCGTCTCTGCCTCTTGTTCTTTGCCTGTGCACCTAGCCGGGACACACACACAGACACACACACATACGCGCTCACATTGGACACACACACACACACACCTCACCTGGCCTGAGCTGTCTCCTCTTTCCACTCGCCAGCCTCTTCAGGTCCTCTCTTTCCTTCCTCCTTGCCTACTTGAGCTTTTTCTTCTCCTTCTCTCTTTTTTCCCGTCTCCGCCGTGACAACCTCAACGCGCGCGCGCTGCATCATCGGCATCCTCAATCGATCATCACCAACATCCCTTTCAACACGCGCCTACCCTGACGGCATTGGTGTCCGTATTGGCATCGCGCATCCACTTGCGTCTCCCTGACTGGACGGCTTTGCCGCCTCTCGCTGTTGCTGTCGCTGGCAGCCAGAAAACCCCCCCCAGACCTTGCCTTAGGTAACCCGCGCCTTTTCTCCAGCACCCGCAACGCAGAAGGGGGCCCATTGCGGCGACGCCCAAATTTTCCGAGCTTCGACCACCAAGTACCACCCATCGTCACCAAACTGATCATCTTCTTCGTCGACGCCCGATCGCCGGTTGCTCGCTTTCATCTTCACCAGCATCCACACCTGTGATCAAACATCGCCGACCTTCGCCCGGCCGACGGATATACACGCCGTCTTCACTGAGACGTCTTCCAAACATCAATCGCAGCCATGTCCATGTATCCGCATCGCGCCATGGGCGCGGTGCCCCCCAACAACTCTGCCCGCCTCAACGAGCTGCTCGAACAGATCAGGACCGAGTTCGATTCGCAGATGCGCACCACCGAGGGCTATGAGCATCAAAGTGAGAGACGCGCCCGACGCCTCCATCAACGCTAGCACACTAACTGTGTTTATAGTCCAGGCCCAGGTTCAAGAGATGCAGCTTGTGAGGGAAAAGGTGTACGCGATGGAGCAAGCCCAGATGAACCTGAAGCAAAAGTACGTCACTCGATGCCACCATCCCAGGCGTAAGCCTACAGAATACTTACCATCGAGTTTCCAACAGGTACGAGGAAGAAATCGCGATGCTCCGCCGCCAGCTCGAAGGAGCTCGTGGAAACGCGCCTCCCAGCATCGGCGGGCCTCCTCCCCATGCCGGCCCGTCGCAACAGCCTCCTTCCATTGCCCCCGGCAACGGTCTTTTCAACGGCATCATGACCGGCGGTGGTCAGGGCCAGCTGGCCCCTCCTCCTCCTCCTCCGCCCCAGGACCAGCAGATGGGCCCGCAGCACCAGATGGCCCAGGGCCCTCCAGGACTCCCCGTCCCGCCCCCTCCCCCCCCTCCGCAGTCGCAGCAGCCTCCTTTCCAACAATATCCTCCCCAAGGCCCCGTATCCAACGGTCTTGCATCTCAGCCTCCCCAGAGCACCGCATCTCCGGGTCCCGGCAGACGGGGTATCGGCAGACCTCCTGCCGCCGTTGGGCCCGCTACTCCCCAGATCAACACCCCGATCCCTTTCCCCGGCGCGACCCAGTCGCCTCAGGTCAGCCACCCGACGCCTGATCACGCCCGCATGGGGGGCCCTCATGCTCCCCCGGTGGGAAACGCCCTTGGTGATCTTGACCCGGATCGCCTACCCCCTCACTCCAAGAAATCGGGTCACGACTGGTTCGTAATCTTCAACCAGCATGTTCCTCGTATGTTGGACGTTGACCTGGTTCACACTCTGGGCCATGAGTCTGTTGTTTGCTGCGTGCGCTTCAGTCACGACGGCAAATACGTGGCCACCGGATGCAACCGATCCGCCCAGATCTACGACGTTCAGACTGGAGAAAAGTTGTGTGTCCTCCAGGACGATAGCGTTGATATCACCGGCGATCTCTACATCAGGAGCGTCTGCTTCAGCCCAGACGGCAAGTATCTTGCCACCGGTGCCGAGGACAAGTTGATCAGAGTAAGTCGATTAAGTGTGGCGGCCATTAAATGTCTTGATGCTGACAACCTCTCGTAGGTTTGGGACATTCAATCTCGACAGATTCGCAACACCTTCTCTGGCCATGAGCAAGATATTTACTCCCTAGACTTCGCGCGCGATGGTCGCACGATCGCGTCCGGCAGTGGAGACAGAACCGTCCGTCTGTGGGATATCGAGCAGGGCACCAACACTCTCACCCTCACTATTGAGGACGGTGTCACCACTGTTGCCATCTCTCCCGACACCAAATACGTCGCTGCTGGCTCACTCGACAAGAGCGTTCGCGTCTGGGACATTCACCAGGGCTACCTGCTTGAGCGCCTGGAAGGCCCTGATGGCCACAAGGATAGTGTCTACAGCGTAGCATTCTCTCCCAACGGCAGAGACCTTGTCAGCGGTAGTCTCGACAAGACGATCAAAATGTGGGAGCTCAGCACGCCCCGTGGTCTGCCGAACCCTGGTCCCAAGGGCGGACGGTGCGTCAAGACCTTCGAGGGTCACAGAGTGAGTATCACTATCATATGTCCTTTGAAGCGTGCTCTAGCTAACAGTTTCAGGACTTCGTTCTTTCTGTTGCTCTTACTCCTGACGCTGCTTGGGTCATGTCTGGCTCCAAGGACCGTGGTGTGCAATTCTGGGATCCGCGCACGGGAGCTACCCAACTCATGCTCCAGGGCCATAAGAACTCGGTCATCTCAGTTGCGCCTAGCCCGACTGGCGGCTACTTCGCTACTGGCTCGGGTGACATGCGGGCGCGTATCTGGTCCTACCGCAGCGTTCAGTAAACAGCTGGACGGTGAGTGAAGACACCATAGATGGAGAGATTTGTCGGACGAATATGTATACCAACAGCCGTTGTAGTGTGGTTCGTAGTCAAGGGTCTGAGGCGGAAATTGTCCCTACCAATGTCTTGGGATAAACTCAGTCAAAGACAAATAGGACGGTAAGGGCGCATGGGTAGTGATACGTCGGAATCTCGCAGCAAATAGCCGTCGCTAATGAAGTTTTGATTGAGCATTGATTGTCGTAGCAAGGGTCAGGAGTTACATGAGTGAACTGAACAAGTCCGAGAATTCATCCCCCTTTTTCGACTTCTTCACAGGCTTTTTCTCTATTTTATTGTCCTTTAAAGATCTGGTGGGGCCAGCATTCTCTACCGGGGAAACCATCTTGCGCTTTTTCCCCTTCGCGGTCTCCTTCCCTTCCGGCCTTAGGGTGGACTGTGGCTTTGCACCCAACTGGAGCTGATCTCGGGAAATGGCTATGCCAAGATCTACAGGACCAGAGGCTCCCTTCGTGTCTTTGGCCAACGCGGCTGTCGGTTGGGCTGCTGACAATGCGGCAGGCGGCTCATGGTGACCCTCTTCAACGCAGTCAGGGACCAAAGACGCCACTGCAGAGTTTATGCCGGCCAAAACACCAAGGAGGACCAAGCCCAAGGCAGCGTGTTGATTATCCGCTGTAAGTTGCGTGAAGGCTCTGGTACTACTTAGTTTCGAGCAAACGCGAGCGGAGGCGCATTAGCTTACAAGAATGAAGATGGTATGATTTGGCGAATGAGTGTTTCCACTCTGGTGGTGACATCTCCATCTAGATTATGTTTGTGTTTGGAATTTTTTTGCTTCTGCTTCTTGTGACCATGGGCCTGAGCGTGTTGGATGCGAAGGACGAGAGCGTCGTGGAGTCTACTGACGGCGCGGCGCAAGAGGTCGAACTGGGTCCACCAGCGAGCGACGTGATGCTGGTTCTTGTTGCGATGGTTGAAGCTGTCGAGGATGTGCAGGATCGGGGTCAGAGCTCCTGTGATGTGTCCGTCGGATCTGCGATCGGTAGATGATGTTTCCATGACGGTAAACGTCAATTTTCGCGCAGCGAGCGTGTTTCTTCCCGTTTTTGCACAAAATACTATCCGTCTTTGGTGGCTGCGAAAAGCTGCTGCACTGACAGCGTCCGTGCAGCCGTACGTACCCAAGCTATTGGACAGGAGCTCAAGAAGACATAGTTGGTTTGCGTCAGTCAGGTGTGGGTTTGGGTTCCATGGTAAGGGACCTCCCGGGCTGAATTGTGGAAAGCCCAAGTTTTCTTGCATGGTAGTCAATCTCTGAAACCTCCCCAGCCTGCTAAGGTACGTTGAGAGCCGCATGTATGAACTGCCTTCAACTGTAGTCCTTGGATACTGCAACTTTGTGACCGCTTTTCCCAAAGACGCATCGCCTTGAGCTCGTCATCAAGGCTAATTCACCGGATGCTCCCCAAACCACCAAAAGGGTATTCGAGTTAGTAAGTTGTGGACAGGTAAGAAGCGGTGGTTTGAACAGGTGCCGAGACAAAGAAAGTGAGGACCGTGCAACGGGGCCGCCCGCGGTCGAAAAAGACGGTCTCTGAAGATCGATTTCGCGTCATGGGGTTCAATTTGCGACATATCTGGGTTGCTACAACGAACATTCGCCCAGTCAGAGAGGCTCGAGCATTCGCAGCAGATGGAAGTAAGCTTTACAGGCGAAAAGCAGCGCGACGGGCCGTCCGTGATGATCAGAAGCTACAGAATAATCCCTCAGTCTCTAGCTACTTGAGGGAAGAGTTAATCAAGGCGACGTCCTCGGCCTAGAGTTGGGAGAGACTTTTGAGTCGGTGGTGGCATCAAATGGCCACTGACTACATGAACTTGTCTCAGTCATCGGATGGCATGTTAGGTGGGAGTGCTTATGCAAGTAGCGGTGAGTGGTAGAGTACGAGGAAGTCTCTTGCTTCTACCCGAGGTACCTACTACCTATCAGTGGAAACTGGCCGCACCGTGAGCCAGCACAGTGCCGGATCATGTCCAGAAAGCAGTGTGCACAGTACAGCCTCCGGGGGAGGGGGGCAAAAGTGGAAAGGCCGAGTCCGAGTCAAGTGACAAAAGCAAGCAATGGTAGTGCTGCATGAGGTGGGCGGACAGAGGAACAGCCGGCCGCTGAGGTCGAGGCAACGGTGGTGCGGCAGAATACCTAGGTAGGCAAGGTGCCCTCTAGGGTACCTTAGGCATGCAGCTAGGTAGACAGGTGGAGCTGGGTAGAGTTCTACGTTCCGCTCCAGAGGCCCTGCAAAAAGCCTGCAATGGCCCTGCACGTCGCATAGCTGACGGAGGGCATTGTCCAACCAGAGGAGTTGGCGCGATAAGACAGCCAACTTTTGACGATGCAGCCCGCGTCATGAAAAAAAAAAAAAAACCAAGATACCAGCTGACGTTCCAGATACTGCGATGCCTCAGTACGCTGCCCACCTCCACAGGTTGGTTCGATTCCGTAATGTAATGATGTTGATCTGCGAGACATCATCGTCCCCTCCCCTTGGTAGATAGATCGATAGTAACGGAACAGGCACGTCCAATGACTAGAGAAGCACAAATAACCGAACCTAATCTTCCCATGCAGTCCAGAGCGCATTATACCAAGAAACACCACCACATGGCACGACTACCCACGGACGGGCATAGCACCGTGATCCATCCGATTCGGTTTTGTTAAAGCTGCAGCTTCTCCCCATCCCGCCTTCTCAGCACACAGACTTGGCAAGAAATCCATCGACTTCCTGGGTTGTCACGGGGTCTTCACTCTCCCACCCTCGGAATCGCTTGGCACCGAGCATGGACAAGTTTTTTTGTCGATTCTCTCGACTTCTGCGCAACCCTACTCCGGCCTTTTTTGCCTTCCTCGACCAATTTCTCCCCCTCTTCCTAGGGACCGAACGAGGCTGAACACGCAAGAAACTCCTTCAAAATCGAGACTTCGGGCATCCCGTCTCCTCACCACGCGACGTAACCTCAACTGTTATCTCTGTCGTCCGCCCCTCATCCACTCGACGTGGAGCAGCCAGTTGGAACATCATCCGTTACCTGCGACAACCTGGCTCCGAACGCCCACTACACTAGCACCATCTCAATCTCCCGCGACTCGTCTCCACTTGGACCGCCAGGGTGGTGGAAGGCAGATTTGCGAGCTATCGATACACGCTTTTGCCCATTGTGTAGCCAAGGCAAAGGCAGTGCGTCGTGCTAGTGTGCTATATACACGTCTGAACGCCCGCGCTGGCAAAGAAAGAAAAAAAAAACCCGAATCGCGCCTGAAGAAAGCTCTCGTTTCTTCTCTACGCGCCTCTCCCGTCTTCGCGTCCTCATCGGTGCCAATTCTTCGGAGAATCTAAGTTCGCGCCTGTCGCGTTGTCTTGTACCTGACGACGGCTCTCCATGTCCTCCCGGAACCCATCGACGTGGGACGAGTACGAACGGGGTGCTTCTCCCCAGCGCTCCGTGAGTATCGACTCCAACGCCGTCACTGAAGACCAGTCGCTTCTTGGCGACGACGAGGAGGATGCCTACGGAGGGAGTCACCATGGCCTGCGTCGTCGAAGGTAAGTTTCTTTGATTCATCATCTTTATTACTTGGGAGCATCTTTGTCGTTCGCTGCTGAATGATATGTTTGGTCTCGTGCTGCCTTCCCCGCTAACTCCCCGCTTCAAGGTCATCTGTAACGCGACACCTCGCCGCCATCACCGATATTGGCGGCGTCAACAGTATTCGCTCCTTCACCCGCAGTTGGGCGCGTGCGGCTGGCTTTGCCGAAGTCATTCCCCAGAGGCCCTCCTTCGTCTTCGCACCCGACCAGGCACCGATTGCCTCCTCGTCAGCAGAAGCTCTCGACTATTCTCGTAGCCTTGTCGAGCCCGAGTCCCACCCGAGAACCTCGCTATTGAGACAGCATCTAGAAGCCACCCCCGAAAATGGAGCCGGTTCTTCGCACGAGAATGGCTCTTCGGCGTCTGCCGTTGTCGACGAATCTTCTCCAGCCGATTTCCGCGACAGGGAGCGCAAAGCTGTCGATGCTGACATGTCAGGGGCTTTCCACGGATCGAGCTTTGGCAGCGGCCGCCGGCCGTCGCAGTCAATTTTTGCAGTTGCTCCTCATCTGGCAACACCGCCTCTGTTCGGGAGTTACGGATCGTACCGGACCTATGGCACGATATCCGACGTTGACGCGCCGTCAATGGCTCAGGCCGGTGAGCTGTGGCGCCAGCAACAGCAAGAGGGTGGAAATGTGCCCGATGGTGAACACCCTCAAATCTTGGTGAAGGAGGTTGAGCAGGATGGCAAGATTGTCCTCACTGTGGAGGGTCAGTCTACGCTACCTCAGACCATTTTCAACTCGATCAAGTAAGAGAATCCCAGGTCTTTGGAAGTCAGCAAGACAAGGTCTAACGTTCAGCGCAGCGTTCTAATTGGGGTAGGTCTCCTGAGTCTACCCATGGGTATCAAGTATGCTGGTTGGATTTGCGGCATGGTCGTTCTGGCGGGCTCGGCTGCCGTGACGGCGTACACCGCGAAACTCCTCGCCAAGTGCATGGATCTGGATGCCAGCTTGATCACATTCTCTGATCTAGCCTACATCTCGTACGGTCGCAATGCCCGTATTGCTACGAGTATTTTGTTCACCATGGAGTTGCTAGCTGCATGCGTGGCCCTCATTGTGCTGTTCGCCGACTCTCTGGTTCTCCTTTTCCCGGGTTTCTTGAGCGTGAATATGTGGAAGATTATCTGCTCCGTGGTCATGATCCCTCTCAACTTCCTGCCTTTGAGACTGTTAAGCTTCACCAGCGTTATTGGCATTCTGTGCTGCTTCAGTAGTAAGTGACGCCTTTTCCCCTCCTTGTTGTGCAAGAGCTGCTCGATTAACTTGCTGCAGTCGTATTGATCCTAGTCGTTGACGGACTCATCAAGCCAAATACACCTGGCTCTCTGATTGAGCCTGC